TAAGTCATATATATGAGAACCGTTTTTAAATTTTTAACAAAATAATCATCTCTTAACCCACTCTAGTTTTCCTAACGATGCTTCAACTTCTTTGATCTTTCAAAATAGTACATTGCATGAATGCCTCCAAAATAGACACCTTTTAATTCTTAATTAATAATTTTTGGCCTCCAAACAAAATGTTCTACTTAAGAATGATATTCATTGATATGTGTAGAATATTCATCGATGAGTTTGATCCATTGATTAGAAATGCAATTCATACATTTTGAGAAATGTGGTTCGATGTTGTGAGCTCGTATATTGTCTGGAGTCTGAATTAAAACTTTCGTTTAGCAAATAAAAACATTTTCGATTAATACGACAGCTAGTTTATAGACCATAATATAGTTACAATAGGGACGGAATCAATCTGATCGTTATAAGCAGTAATATAATTTAAACGATTTCAAATTGTAATAATGTTTATACAAGAATGTATATTTTACAACAACCGATGTGTCGTTATATCGATGCCACTATAAAAGGTTCAAAATTGTATGTGGACAGCATATGGCCAAGTAAATTTGACTTTAAGAAACAGTCGTTATTTAATTTGTCGTTATAAGCAATATCTACTATACTTAGTCTATCAACTTAAGAGTATCGATTGACTACGTCTCCAGGCAGCTGTTTACTATTGATGATAAGAGAAATCCTATACTGAATAGGGTAAGTAATATATCTTATACAAATTTTGAACTAAAAACACGTGTAATGAGGATATAAGTCATTACTGCTTAGGTAGATACATCTCAAATGATAGCAGTAGTGTAAATAGACAATAAAACTAAGAAAACCTAAGAAAAATTTAAGATAATTTTAAAAAATATTTTTAAATCAATTTTCAAACATAAACTTTGATTTTTATATGGAAGTAAGAATTGAAACATACTAGCAACACTAGTCGCCTGTAAGTCCTTTATTAAACACAGTTTTCGTCTAATGTTTTGACCAAATATAATACCCAATATCGATTTTTTATTCATAAAAATTGAATAGAAATCACTTATATTAGTTGGAAATATAAGTGATTTGATCGCAATCTATTGAAGGCATACTAAGCAAATTTTCAGCAAAAAAGCAGAAAACTAGTATCTTTACACAACATATAAATCAGTGAAGCAGAATATCGACTTCATTAGAAAAACCTTTGGAATTAATATATTGGAATCAACTGAAATTATTTGTTATTGCTCTATGTTCCTTGTAAATGTATTTAAAAAATTAAATACATAATGTAAAATCGTTGTTAATCTTTGAACTTACATATGTTAAGATACATTTTATTCTGTTTGCAAAAAAAAAAAAGCAAGATCTATTTAGATTAATTTATATTATTTATATGTCGTATTCTGTACAAAACCGTGATTTCATACTTATTTTTAAGCTCTAATGTATTAATACTCGTACTAGCTTTCTGAATATCAACATTTAGCATTTATTATATAAATTGTATATATAAGGAAATAAAAGTCTAGTATTTGTATTTTTTCCTTATTTGCACATAATAAAATCCTCTAAATTCGAAATGATATCATAAGAACGAACTTGCCCATTAAAAATTTCCTTTTATTATTATTAAATAACTTAAACACCCACGACTTTATAAAGCAATTAATTACGTTAATTATTATTCGTTACTTGAATTAAATAGGAAAAAATAAGTGCAACTATGAGAACTTTATTCATAAAACTAAATAATTTATTTATTAATTGAAGTTTATTTAATGTATCTTACAATAAACTAAGTCAATTAATAAATAACTAATAAGTAATAAATCATTGAGTAATATAATTTGAATTTTTTTATTAAACAATTGTTTATTAATTTTTTTTTATTATATTATGGTATTTAGCTTTCATCACAGATCAGTATAAAAAATTATTAAAATTTAATAATTAAAAAATTAATTAATAAAATTGTATCACATACACTAATCGAGTAAAACTTGATTAGCGAAGACATATAAATTATTTATTTTATTAATGTTATGGAGTTTTACGAGTAAACACCTGTGATTGTAAGTGCAACAAATCTTTATCTTTTTAAAGTTATTAAAATGCAAACTAGTTGCAATTAATTTATAAATATTTAAGCAGTTATGGTAATTAAAGTATTTAATTAATATTTATTATTGTACTTTTTTATGAAACCCTTGCATTTATAATTCAAATTAGTTTATTATTAAGTTATTAAATTATTGTTTTGTGTTGAAATAAAACAAAGGTACTTTACGTACTCAATTTCAAATTTTTATTTAAATTATTTTACATTTTATAAGGGCATCTGTCCCCATTTTTAAGACTTATAATTATGAAGTAAAACTTCGAATCACTAGAAAATAAAAGCAAATACTACTCTTACCAAAAGCACGCGTATTATAACGTACGCTAAAATGATCAACATTTGTTCAAACATTTATATAAATAGGCCGCATTAAATAAAGGGATGTCTGAAAATCTCCATAAAACACGTAAGCACTCAACAACACCTGTTTCTTAATTTGAAAGTTGAAGAATCGACGGATCAGTTTTAACATCTTCAAGACGACCAGAAGTAATTACGACTCGACATAACAACGAAATAAACAAATTTATACCCCGCGCAAATTCCAGATACTAATATGGATGAATACGGAAATGGACTGATAAAGCATCGTCTTCTGAAGAGATATGCCCCCAAGATGGGTTTAGCTAGGAAGACAATTGCGATAAATGCAACATAACTGTATTTATCAAAGGAAACTTTAGAGTACATGATGTCAGCAGGTCTAGGATTGTTAAGTTATTAAGGTATACAACGAAAAATAAAATAAGACATATTAAGATTATTTAGATGGGCCGTAGAAAATGATTGATGAATCCTGCTTCGCCCTTATTATAGGAAATTCTACACAGTCCACTTATCGGAACACGACACTACTGATCACTGTCTCTCTGTCTTTTTCTCTCACTGTCTCTCTTATAACAGCTTATAACAGTAAGCACAGCAACAATTACATTATTTACAGCAACATCAGCAAAACCAACAACATCAGCAATATTCAACAACACATTAACAATAACAACATCATTAGCAATCATATTAACCGCAGCAACATCGTCAGCAGCAGCAACAACAAGAACATTAACAACAACAATCACGATGACACCTATATTATGAGCAACTTCGAAAATCACTACGGCAATAACATTAACTGCATAGACAGTATTAACAATTATAACATATAACAATAATAATAATAATAATAATATATATACTACATCGACAACGACTGCAACATTACTAACAATTATTGTAATAATAAAAACAACGACTACCAATTACATTAACAACAACAACAACAACAACAGCAGCAGCAGCAGCAACATTAGTAACAGCAGCAACATGAGCACTAACAACTACATTAGCAGTAACAACAACATTAGCGGTAACAACATTAGTAGCAGCAACAACATTTAAAACATTACAACTTTAGTGACAACAACAATGTAAATAGCAACAACAATATTAGCAGCAGCAATAACAATCTTAGCAGCAACAATAACATTAGCAGTACCAAAAATAGCCGTTATAACAGTAACGATTGCAACCAAAACATATTATTTTCAGTAGAAAAAAAACAAGGGGAAAGGTTTTTTTTGTAATAGAGCTTAATAGAAGTTTAATTTTTTTTTTTAAAAATATTCCTTATTATTAGGAATTAACTAAGATAAGAACAAAAAGCTCCCTTGTCTTTAACTTTTTTACGATATACCAGAGTAAAAGCGGTTTTTTAATAAATAAAATTTTCCCAAACAAATCTTATAATTTATATTTTCTGATAGAATTTTAAAGATATACCACTGTTAGATCTAATTGTTGTCGGTGGGGGCTTGTATATTATATAGTGGTTCATTGGCAGAATAGAATCTTTTTTTATGTAGTAAGTATATTGTCAAAGAATGAATCACGTTATTTACGCTGCAGAATTTACTGAAGTGTCATGATAAGACATAACGGATGGGAATAACTTGAGGGTATTGAGGTCTTAAAAGGAAAATCAACTACCGCACTTTATATCTCCCTAACTTCACATTGAGTGTTTTATGCTGATGTTATTTTTGTCATGCACCCATAATTATGTCGCAGTCATATTTTTTAAAAGGAGCAATTTACGAAATAACAAAACGAAAAACAATATTATAAAATATTTTATTTAACAATAACAATAACGAATAACAATATTATAAAATGTTTTACTTAACAATAACAATAACAATAACGAAAGACATTTAAAATTAATTTTTCGTTGCACACAGTTCTCAATCGAATATACAGCATATTGTGTTACTCAGTCCATAATATCCGTCCATTACTTTTACCGTATCTTATATACTTTTATTGGCTCTTCTTAAGAATTTTCTTATGTCTGCCCACACTCATTGATTTTCCTTACTTTTGGGGTAAATTGTAAAACACAAGACTTTTTAAGAAACCACTTCATTTCCTACCATATGCAGCAAACCAAATGCCGATACTTAACATTTTATAGCAATTTGTTGACAAACTCATGTAAATTGATGTAAAGAAATATGTCTGCCAAAGGCTCACCTGTCTTCCGTGATAATATCTGACACTTTTCGAATTCACCTTCCACAGAACTCCTACTGATTTTAAACGTAAAATAACAACAATAAAATAACTTTACCAGAGTTTCATATCTTGCGCAGTTTACTCTTTCTAACACTTTTTTTAAAAATTTGGTAGCGAAGCGAGAGGAACTCGTTTTATGAATGAAGTGTAGGTATTTTAGTGCATATTTTACGATTATTTAACAAAACATCTTAAATATTTGAATATCATTAAAAAAAATTGTAATCAATGATAAGATAAGCACGTATATATAACTCATAACATAACTGTATATATATTTTAATTTAAGAAAAAAAATCTTTATGTAAAATACACATTTTACCTTATTTTTGAAGAATGTTCTTTTCTGCAAAAATATACTGCAATTTTTTTCACCTTTTTTGTTTTTAATGGTTACAAAAGAAGTTTGCTTTACCAATATACAATTTTATAACTTTTTAAAATTAATATACATATATCTATATAAGGACATATGTATGTTTACATATTTATATAAATTTTTATATCAAATTAAACATTTATTTTATGAGTAGTTTTTTTTTTCCATAAATTTTGCGTAAAAAATGATTTCTTAATTTCTTTTAGGATGTTAACACTCATACATATATAGAAACACGCACTTGACCACAACAGTACTTAACACACTAGCCCGAACATCTAATCCGCTTGCATGAACGCCCTACCTTCTTCACTGCAAGTTTTCTACTTATTTATTTATTTTTTCTAAGCAACGTCCGCAACCCAAATGTTCATCCAAAGCAAGCGAATTTCGAATTGATTTCATGACTATTTCAACCACTTCGCTAAACAATTTTTACGGCGAATTTGTTTATACCGGCTTTTAATTTGGCATCACTTAAATATTTCACAGCATTTGACGCATGGTTGTAATTACGTAAACGATTTAAGCTTATATATCAAACTTAACGAAAAAAAATTTTTTTGAAAAATTATATCTATTTAAATAGTTTTCAAGAAGAATTAGTAAAATTAAATTGTGGAGTAAAATCATTAATACCTCTCTGAAAAATTAAATTACACCCAAAGTACAAAAACGCTTTTAAGTAAAAAAATGTAAAGGTAAGATCTTCTTATATTATTAAGTGTTCCTCAAATAAACAATTCATTTTAGAAACATTTAATTGAAATATGTTATTATTCCTTAAGCATATTCTCTTCTCCGTCAGTACACATTACAGTAATCATATAATTCATTATTTATTTAAAGTGTTATAAAAATATTTACTATCACTTCTTTCATGACTGTAACATATTTAAAAAAAAAAGGAAAATGTTTTCAAATTCCTAATGTTATCCTTTTTATTAACAAAAAATTTTTCACTTAAATATATTTTACGTTAATATTTATACAAATTAAATATAAGTTATTTTTGTAAAACTCACTCTTACAGAATCGATTTTCTTATCATTTTTTATCCAAAATTGCAAAATTTAAACAACTTATTATTATAGGATATGAAACGTTATGATATGATATATTAATGTATTGCAATTTAATAATTTTGCGTTTGCTAATAATTTAATTTAACAAAATATTTTGTTCCAATACTTTTATAACTATTTGTCAATTCGAATAGATATCACCTAAGTTTAGGCAAAATATAGACACAGCTGCCATATATTTCTAATAATTTTTTTTCATAGATTTTGGTAGTCAAATGGATCTGAGTGAGATTACTTCTACAAGTATTATTCATTTCAATAGTCTAATATTTTTTGAAATCGAAATGTTTTTATAACTCAACAAAAACAAAACTATTACTCAGCTACAAATTTTCATTTTTTCTAACGAACAATTACTTATTTGAAAAGTCATAAAAGTTTTGGCTTTTAATTAATAACAGTTTATAATTACGAATACTTATTAACTTCAAGTACAATAATAATAAACATAATTAGTTGTTCAATAAGTTGTCGCCTGCAATTTATTCTTTAATAGTAGAACTGAATTTTGAACTACTTAAATATTTCATTAAAAACTGTATTCATTATCAATTCATTCATTCATCCATAACAAACTATTTGTAGCTGAACGGAAATTTAAAAACAATTAAAATGCAAAATTCGTATCAAAACGCTTAATGTGCTAAGTAAATCTGATCCTTTAAAAACGATGAATCGTAAGTAGATAGTTCACTAGCTATTTAGTTGTAACATTCTTAGACTGAAAATCTCTTCTGAATATTCCCATTGTGGAGATAAAATACTAGAAATAATTTAATTGTTCCTCTACAGCTTCCCAGCTCTAGTTAAAACTAGGTTAACTTCATAGGCAAATATATGTTTAGCATCTCACAGAGCCTTAATATAGTTTTATAAGTAAAATATTTAAAGTTCTGGTAATCCAGTTGAAGTGTAAAGGACATTTAAAAACTGCTTCAACGCCTAAATTGTGAAGCACTGTAAGCAAATTTTTAGTTTCAAAAAGCTGTTTAAATAATCGGTCACATTATGTATTCGAATGAAACAATCGTGCCTTTTGTTAGCAACTGTTAGTGTGTTTTATAAAGAATAAAAAATTTATCATGGTGATTATTTATATCCGATCTGCAAACCTATTACACGATTAAAAATGTATATAGAATAAAATAAACAAATATTGAATACAGGCTGATTAGATGATGATAGATGTTTTTTAACTCCGCAATGTTCAATGAGAAACACTATGACAAGTCGGATGCCTTTTCTGTTCAGCTTTCTCGTTTCCCTCAAATCCGCTGTGTCTTATGATCCCTATTAAGTGGACCCAGTTCCTTCTAGTAAGATCTTTGAGAGGTTGAAAGCAATCCCTTATTAATTTTATAGTCACCCGAGGTGAGCTTAGTGCTAGGAATGCTGATTTGCTATAAAAAATATATTTTTATATATGTTTTTTCCCTTATTGGCTTTCTTTTTATATTCCCTTAGACATAGTTCAATTGCGTATACAGGTTGAGTTTGCAGATTATAACGATAATTCTAATTGAGCCACTTAGACGTATTGGCCCATTGCGTTAACGTCTTAAGTTCGAAATTTTTAAACCATCTTTAATAAAATTCACCAAGATAATAAACCGCTAACATATATTTCTTTAAAAAAACTTTTATATTAAATACCATCTACATTATCTTCTGATGTTATTTTACAATACATATAAAAAATTGATAATATAACAAATAGAATGTATTTTCTTAGATTAAATGAACATTTGTTTCATTACAAATTACACAACATATACACAAACATATTTTTGTTTGAACCATTAAATTCTTTTATATTTAATCGATTTTAGATTTCACCCTTAAAAATCCTTTTTGCTCCCCGCAATGCGCTAACAAATTAAACTTGCTGACCTATTTAATAAAATCCATGGATACATTGAATTTACATTACATTGCACAATATCAATTGTTGCTGTATCATAATTTCTTGCCTCAGTTAATCACATCACAGTTAAGGAGTTTGAAGAAATTACTCCTGATATGGAAAAAGAAATTTTACAAGTACGATAATATTTAAAATCCAATATATTTTTATAAAAACTTATATATTTTTATAATAAAAATTAATATTTTTAAAATAAAAATTAATATTTTTATTTAAAGGAAAAAAGAACTATCTCCTATGTGGAAAAAGCATTTGAAGAAATTATGCAGAAACCTTTTATAAGTGAGGTTATTATTCTAAATAAAAATGGTAATCCCATAAAAACAACAATGGAGAGAAACGTTGCTATCCGGCATGCCGGGTTATATGAAACATTACGTCAAAGAGCTGAAAAAATCGTAAAACAATTTAAAACTTCCGATGAAATAATGATGTTTCACATTCGCACAAAAGACCACGAAGTCATCATTTGTCCAGATGGAAAAATTACGGTGATCGTAATCCAGAAACCTATTGATGGCATGATGTTATAAATCTATTAAAAATCTTTAAAATACATTTATTTTTATAATAAAATCACATTAGTTAATTTTTTATATTTATATTATACTAAATATTATAAAAAAATTTAAAAAAGTTTCTTATAATAATTTATAATAGTTTCTATTATAATAATTTTTTTTATTGAAGGATTAGTTTTATTAAACAAAAATTTTAATAAATATATATATATATATAAATACATTATGTTCATACATACATACGGTTTGTAATGGTTACTTGTGATGTGATTTATAAGATAAATTTGTATTTAATACAAACTACTCTTCACGACTTCTTAAAAGAAAATTATATCAATATATCGCAGAATCTTGATTAATAAAAAAATATAGAATTTTTATTACATTGTTTAATAGGCAGCAAGGCCAACAATAACATATTATTTAAAGGAACAATGATATACTTCGACCTGTTCAATTAATAATGCTAAGTAACAACTAGATTATTTACAATAATAAAGTAGTCTTCATAAAGCATACATAAGTTCCTATTGTGACTTAACGATGACAATGGTCTTCTAGGCCTGAGTTATCATCGTAATGACTTAAAACTAATTGTTACTCACCATAACTGTACTACGAATCTTTTGCTTAGAAAATATTTTAAATTCAGTCAAGCGTTCCTGAACTAAAATTAAGTAACAACATAATGATTTTGTGTGATCTATAGATCATATAACATTAATGTCTCGATTTTCAAAGAAATTATTCCAAAATCTGCCTATAAATATAAAATATTCAAGCCATTCACTACTATTACACTTTGACTAGTAACTATTATTAGTTAGAGAACAACATTTATTAGTTAACAACTATTTAGACTAACAGAGAAATAAGATTTTTTTTATGCAGCTGATAGAACTTTAATAATCTTTTATAAATTTCACTTAAAAATATATCACATAAAAACATTAAATATATAATTGAGATATATATATTGAATTCTTTAACTTCTAGGAGTATAGGGCCGCAAAATATATGAAATCATTTATATACATTTTATATATCAATTACATATTCAATTAATAAAAACAAAGGTTTTATTAAATACTTATTTTATTAATAAAGAGCTTATTTATAATGAAAGCTCTTTTGTACGGTAAATTATCCTCATTAGTGCTTATAATGAGCTAAACCGCCTAAATAAGGTAATGTGAATATGTTATAAATTAGATGCTCTTCTCAGAAGATGCTCTTACAATTACAATATTAATTATACATACCACAAAGTCATGTCAATAAATAAGTTGAACTTTCTCAATAGTAAAAATTAAAAGAAAACTATTTATATTGAAGAATCAGTTAAAATTGTATTTAAATAACTCTTAATTTCATATTTCTTTTGCATGATTAACTATATCGTTCAAATTTACTATATTTCATATTTACATTTTCATATCTATATTTTACTATATTATTTCATTTTTAATAGAACACTAACATATAATAATTTATATTATAAGAAATGAAAATTCGTTAAAGACTTTCCTTATGATATACATATTGAAAAATTGTTTATATTTTTTAATTTTTTTCACAGATGATCAGATAAAATATAATAAGAATACTCTTCTTTGGATTCCTTTGGATCTTTTTCCTAAATTTTTAATATTAGGCGTTCTGCAAATTGTGTATTTGTTAAAAAAATAAATTTTATAAATTATAAAATTTTATAAATTAGTTTATAAAAAAGTTTATAAATTAAACTTTAATCATATCATTAACAGTTTTGATACGCTTGTCCAAAACAATTATTTTATCCTTGAATAAATTTCATTTTCTTCTTTTATATACATATGTCAAAATAAAATTTTTGTTTTGGCAGCACTTACTGTTGTCATTTACTTGAAACTTTTTTTGTGTTCGTTTTCTGTGTTTAGTCGATGACGATATTGCTTTCCCATTTAGTGATTTAACAAATTGGTGTTAAGCTTTTTGATATTTAATCAAATCAACACGAGATGGTAAGTACTTTAAAATAATTTTAATTTTGAATGGTAATAAACCTAACTTTATATATAGTCACAAGAAGTAGAAGAAACCTTAAAACGTATACAGGCACACAAGGGTGTAGTTGGTACTATTGTTGTTAACAACGAAGGTAACAGATGACTAAATATACAAAAGATTTATAAAAATTAAAGATTATTTTCTTTAATTAGGAATACCAGTTAAGTCGACTTTAGATAACACAACTACTGTGCAATATGCCGGATTAATAAGTTTGTTGGCTGAGAAAGCTCGTGGTGTAGTACGTGATTTGGATCCTTCAAATGATTTAACATTCCTTCGTCTGCGTTCCAAAAAACATGAAATAATGGTTGCTCCAGATAAAGATTTTATTCTTATTGTTATTCAAAATCCAACTGATTAACTCAAAAACTAAAAGTATATATATTTCAAATTTAATTTGTAAGTTAAAATAAAATTAATAATGTTTAATAAACTTTAATTGAAAGTTATATTAGAATTATGTTAATGATTTAAAAATGAGTTTAACAATTAATATTATTACTGAATGTGAAAAATGTTGTATATAAACTACGTCAGTTGTTGGAGAAAAGCGGGTCTTAGAAATTATTGGGAAGATCTTATATTACCTCTTGTTTAAAATTATTAAAGTTGTTTTGATGACGCAGACCTTGTAGAAATAATTATTTAGAATACATTGTCTATATTTAAGAAATTCAGTAGGTTATATTCCCATGAACAGGTTGAATAGAGCTGCAACTCCAAATCATTCATTATCCATTCAGTCAATATTTCAATGAAAATTCTTGAGAATAGTATAGTATAATATAATTCAATCTATGTGGATATTAGTTTCGAAACAAACAGAAAAAATATATCTAATAATAGTTTTATAGAACATATTCTATTTTTAACAGTATCAGAGTTTAAATAGCTAGATTAAATACAAACAGCAAACTTAACACTGCATTATCAGAATCTCTTGTTTTAATCGAAATTACTATCTGGACAAACTATCTATTCTGAATAAAATATATATAAACTCATAACATTGATCGTACGACACTACGAAAAATATATGGGACCATTCACTTCAAAAACGGGCTACATATAATTGGTTTTAGTGACCAGTCGAATGCTGTGAATGATTTCTAAAATTTTATATAAACGCACAGTGTTTGCATTGGTTGTGATAAGTAGTCAGTCAAAACAGGTTCGAGGAGTTGAGGATGTTATAGACGAGCTATGAATCAAAATTGCCCGCTCGGAAAGTACAAGAAATTTTATAATATTAAAGATACAGTAGTTTTTGAAACATATCAGGCTAAGAAATTAAATAAACAAGATATAATTTATTGCGAGACCTTATTATATTAAATTTATTTATTGTAAACGAAGTAAGAACGATTTTTGGAAAAAAACAAATATATATCAATTAAAATCTAATCATTTAAGAAATGAACATATTAATTACAAAAATAAGTATTAGAGCATTTTTCTGAGTGTAAATCATGATATAGACGATGCTTCATGTATGCAAACCAAGTATACGTGCTACCAAATCACACTCTGTATGCGTGCTACCAAATCGCATTGTGTGTGCGTGTATATTCAAGTATGTATAGCAAATTTCGGTCTGCCGACATGAATACGATAAATTAAAACTGTTCAATTGTTGTTTAAGTCTGCACAAATATCTGCTTGAGTATAACGAATACATGTCTGCATTATTTGAGAATTTTGGTGAGCATCGGACGGGCGCAGATCGCGGAAATAAATTATTGAATAGTAATAAATAGTGAAATTTGAAAAGAAGTGCTAAAGACATTTATTTTGTTAAAAAAACATTATTTTTTGCGAATAGAAATATTAAAATGGCTCTTCCACATACCAATATTTTTAGGGAATTAATTGAAGACTACAAAAGCAAACGGTGTTTGTGGGAAGTGAAAAATGACGCTTATAAAAATAAATACTTAAAATCGCAAGCGTGGAATAAGTTATTACGAAGGTACAAAGAAACTTTTCCAGATGCCACATTAGGAGATTTAAAAAAAAAAATTAATGGTATGCGGAATTGCTATAGGCGAGAACTCAATAAAGTAAAAAAAAGTAAAAAGTCTGGTGCTGGTGCGGTAAATTTGTATGTGCCAACATTATGGTATTATAAAGATCTTCAATTTTTACAGGAGCATGAGTGCCAAGTCACAGATGTAGGCACTTCGGATATTAAGCAGCTGGAAGATAAGGTAAATGATATCAGAAAATGATTTTTCATTTCAAAGTCTTGATTTTTTATGTCAATGTGTATAACAAAATTAAAGTGTACATTAAAGTAGGATACTGAATTTCGGAATTCCCAAGTTCGTATTGGTCATATTGCGACGGCACTGTTCCTTTTTCATTGAAGTAGTTTTTTTACATATTACAGAAATATCCTTTGGTAATTAAGTACAGCTTCACCAAAATGCCAGTTTCAATTTTGCTGTCTGGATATATTCTATATCGACACTGTCTCCAAGATAATGTCTTGAATTTTTACGTATTTAGAAGTTATGCAGATAGCAGCAAGTCATAGCAGTAACTACAATTTTATGTGGGTTTACATTACTACTTTGGTGAGCATGCAAAATCGATTTATTAAAATCCCAAAGGCGTTCTCCATTTCTCGTCTTGCTCTGGACAATCTGTAAATAAATACATGGTTTTCATCGCTTATATGTATGTGACTGTAAGGTTTCGTTAAATTCTCAAATATCGGGGAATTCATCATCTCCAATAAAAATAAAAAGTAACATATTTTCGTTAAATAAAATCGCATCTGGATTGAAAATGGGGCTAGTTCGTTTTAATCGAGTTTTTGCTTAAATTTCATTTTTGAGAATATTTCAAAATCAGATGCCCTCCATTTGGCCCCACATCGACAGCAAAAATTTATAATTTAAGTTTACAATAGCCATTGAAATGTTGAAATAAATAATAAGACTCTGCTCCTAGTGGTTTTTTATTTCTATATTTTCTATATGTTATGTATATAAATTTCTTTTAATGCAGTAAACAAATGGTTTTCTTTATTTTTATATTAAACTGTTAATTATATTTCAGACTACTTATGAACCGCCCCGTAAAAGGAAAATGCATCACACAGATTTTTTAGCAAAAGCTGTACAGCATCACCAAGCACAACGTGAAAACACTACAAGAGACGATGCTGACATTTATAGACAATCTTGGTCAGCAACATACCGCAAATTATCATATGAACAACAAATACTCGCCAAGCTGGGAATAGAGAAGCTGCTCGCGGACGGACAAATGAATAAACTGACTTACGAGTCAGTAGCATATATTGGAATTCCTCCACAAACAATAGCAGCACCATGGCAATAAAGTTATGCTGTAACACTAAGCCAGGATCCACTTGTGCAGAGACAAGTTCGAATTATGCTTTCGCCATACTCAACCCATACTTGAAGTTCAGCAATTAGTCCAAGAGGGGTCTATATTAATTCAAGTAGCCCATTAATGACTCCCTGGTCAACACTCGATTCTGAGACATCAAATTTATCAATTATATTTTCACATTTAATTACTTTTATATTTTATTAAAATTTGAATAATTAATTAAAATAATAAATGTTCCTGTTTATATTTGATTTACCTGAATATATGCTTTCAATCTTGTTCTTATGACATCTCAGATTTCAATAACTATATTACTTAAACTATATAGAGATATCGCAGTCAAGAATATTAAGTCCTGAAAAGTTCCCCACGAAGCCAAAAATTCGAAATAGCTATTCTCGTGAATGGGTCATGTTTTATAATGAAAGGTTGCAACATAGAAAATAATTCATTATTGTTAATACCCATTCTTAAAAAAATTTTTAAATTTCCAATACAAATAGTCTCTAATTTATTCAGAAGCTAGACATGGGAAAATTTTTTTCGCTTTTGCAGAGAAAAATATATACGTATATGTTATTTATCTAAAAAAATTATTTTTAAATATTTTAATGATACAATTTCATTATAAGAAACACTAAAATTAAAAATTTTTGAAATTAATTTTGATATTTTCAAGAACGACCAACTTAGTATTGTTATATATATATACCATATTTTGTTATACATCTATGCGTATACAACTGCACTTATATACATATGTAATTTATTTTTAATTTTATAAGTTTTAAAATAATATAGCTTGTATAATGTTAGTAGATATGATAATTAAAAATTATTTTTAATTTTAAAATAAAATTTTCTTATACAATATCTTCTAATATTATATCTACAATATCTATAATATTTACTTTCTTATCATCTACTAAACTAATTTATGAATGTAGTAGATGTGTCAATTGATCATACGAAACATTTAATACCAATTTTAAAATTTAATTTACTCCTTAAAATACAACCATGCACTTAAAAATTCATCTCAACAAAATGAGTTTTTTCAGTTCTGTGTTTGCTGGTCGAGCTGCTTAAACGCTGTCGGGAACGGAAAATATTTTCAAATAAAAATTAAAAATAGACTTGCAAAAAATTGTTCAGAATTTAATAAAACTTGAAATAAATATTAAAACAATAACTAAAATTGAATAATAAGGTAATTTATTTTGGAAAAATTTTATATATCGTAAATGAACAAAAGCTACGCACAAAGATAATTTTTGTTCCTCGTAACGTGTATATAAACGTTCATAAATACAGCATTAAGCAAGCATATGTAAAGTGTATATCAGCAGTTTTATATATATATATGTATATAAATAAGTATATAAGCGTCCGGTAACGAAGCTCAGCCAAGCAGAGCATCGACAAAAAAATTACTCATTGTGCTGTCGTGTTTGAGTGAAAGTAATGAGTAAATGTGTTTTAAAATATTAAATTTCTGATATTAATAAATATATTCAGTGAAGAGAAAAGAATACAAAATTAATATTGAAAGTTTAAATAAAAAATTAACAATTTATAATTTTGTTTAATAAAAGATAAAATTTTTCGTGACGAAAACATTTCCTTTTGTTAGAAGACTTCCCCTTCAGATTATTAATTATTTACAGATACCTCAAACATGTTTTGTGTGAGTATATAAGCCAGTTTTGTACATAAATGATTACATATAGTGTTTTTGTGGTATTGCTGTTTTATGAAATTCAAGATAATGTATACATATATATATTTTTCATTAAAAATGTAATCTATAAAATACAAAGTTAATATAAATATTATTCATTGTTTGTGATATCGAAATAATTTATTAATTTTAATTTATTCGTACCATCTTTTATTTAGTATTGTAACATTCATGTATGTACATACATATGCATCATCCCTTCCTTTTTTAAAAAACATTGATGCGTTGCTTCCTTGTTCGCATGCGGTAATATCTCGTTTTCGTTGGAAGGGTAACAGAAGATAAAAAGCAGAACCCGTTTCTGATTTTATTTTTTACTTCTGCACATTGACATGCAACGAAAGCCAATATAATTAAAATTATAAATAATCCGATGTATATCATTTTATATCTGTTTAATATAAAAAAGGAATAGCACAATAATGTAAAAATAAAAAAGTGAAAATTCAAGTCTGAAATGTGATTAACGTTTCGCAAAAATTATTATGAAGCCTACGCCCAAAAGCATTAAAAAACCTATATTTTCAAAAGAAATACTTTATACTTTATTAGTAACCTGAATACATCTATGATTGAAATTTCTAAATTCCAAGAACGCACAAATCACATACGCTGATATTTTGCCAGGTGCATAATATGTCCCTTATCAACAATAAAAGAAGAGTGGTCCTCCCATAAAAAACATGAGAAAAATAGCTTCAGTTTAACCAAACTTTTAATACCCTTAACACAAATGTTGTTGAGTTCAATATAATCGTTTGTTGTTCAATTATTAAATTTTTTTCAGGTATATTTAAATTTTCATGAAAAAATACAGAATATATTTCAATTTAACGAGGACATTAGAATTTGTAGTGAGACCACCTATCTGTAATTATTTTAGTCGCGGATTTGTTGCATTTAACGCATGTTACTTTCAAATAGTTGACCTTACCATAATTACCTTTTTTTAAAATGCTCTGTTTACCTAAGATTCCACGGATGTCAAGATCGACCTGGTAAAACTGCTAAAAAGAGTTACCAGTCAGGTAACTACAACTAAATCGAAATCTGCTCAGTACTACGGTATCAGTAGTGACGAGTCACTGTGTTAGGAAGATATGCTCTGAGACATTACCTAGGTTTTTTTTATTATTACTGGGCTTAGGTCGTTGATTTCATTGTATACTACAGTTGGTCTACGGAGTAGACCCAAATATCTTTAATATAAATAATTTTTTATAAAAATTAAAATACAATTAAAAATTTAACACATATATAAAGGTGTAATTTTTTAATAAAAAAAAATGTTTTTAATTTTTTTATGTTAAATTACCGACCTAAGTCCACTAATAATAAAAAAACGTATTGAATATTGATCGTAATAACAATTTATTAGACAGAGTCTACCCTATAATGACTTTTATCGCCGTTGTGGTTCTGCGGATGCGTTTCTACTCCACCTTATATGTCAGTTCCCTTGATTGGCTAAGAGAGTTTTACAATCTTACTGACCTGGTATAGCTGTCATTTTGTACAATTAAGAACTTGGTCTAGTTTATATACTTGTCTGGTTGATTCACTTTCACATGAATGGGGGAAACATGCCCGTCGGCGTTGTTAGTACACTGATCTCTAGTCTGTGTATAAACGACGCTACTCCGTAGTAACACATCGGGCCATTATTTGAGCTAAAGTGCGCTTTGGATACAAGGTCGCCACTCCAACCTAACTTAAGATTTCACCTTATACATGTGTATTTATAAATATAATCTCATTTTTGACATTTATTTATCATTGGATATAATCAAAGGATATAATCAATAAATTTTATGTCTTTATTTTATATACAAATTTGTTTGTATAAAAATTATATATGATAATGACACTCGCAGATTCTGCGTTTACCCGTTAAGATATTTAAGGAAGGTAGATATTACGCTTCGCTTGAAAATGTGGAGATTGGTGAATTATTTTAGTGTTGATTAATGATGGGTACAGAAATAACTTTAACAGTGTGACTTTTTTTTCAACTTTCACTATGGGACTCCTAACCCTATTATTATCACTAGAAAAAAGCCATAGGTCAGGCAGCAAAGGCGATTCTGCTACAAATTAGATTAGGATACAGCCAATATTGAATATTTACTTATCGTAAATAAACCATTGACCATAATGACAGCTCTTTACTGTTTGACGTCCAACCGTTTACTTATCACTGCATAGATAATCTTGTTTTATGACTCTATCTTATTAGGTTTTTGAACTTTAGTTCAGCATGATTTCATATTTCTTCATTTTATTGAAGAATTATTCAATTCCTTTTCTTTTTGGTTTATAATTTTTTTGTTGTTGTATCCTGTGGAGATCTATGTATCAGATAACATAAAAAGAATTATAAATACGAATACATGGGTTGGGCAAAGAAAGTGCGAAAGAGTATTGGATTATTTGAGAACAACTGCGGATTATAGATGGGTAAGAAAGCTATCTTTTTTAATAGAATGTAGCGAAAGATCAATTTCATTAAATTAGTGTGTGCATTGGGGCATAAAAACAAATGTACACCATCATGGAAAGTAGATCATGAACATCTGTTAAGGCACACATTGACTTATTTATACGTGACAATTAATTATTTAGCGCGTGGCTATATCCTAATATCTATTAAACTAGGACAGTTATTGCTGCAAGGGTAAGGCGTCACTCTTCTCTGAGTATATTAGGCGCAGACCTATTACGAACCTTGTTATTTTATAACTATAGACCACATTTATTAAATAATATAGCAATAGCTGTGAAAAATTTTTATTATCTTTTTTTGAGTACCATTGATAATAATTTCAAGCAAATACATATGTTTCTATACACCGACTACAATTTATTAAGTGTTCACAGTTCCTTCAAAAATATTACCTTATGTTTTATTTGCTCTTTTTTGTCTGTTTTCTGATCTAGAGATTTGAATAAATTTATTTTTTTTAATTCACTATTTGATAAACTTTTCATAAAATGTTTTCGATATACTGAGTCATTTTTATCATATATAATATGGCGTCATTATTGCGAAAAGTTTTAAACTTTCATATTCCACTTCTGTGATCTCCTTAATTGTGATCAGTGCCTCTATGACTTCATTATTAAATATTGCAGATGTTAAAAGTAACAAATATTTTGTGTTATGCTAATGGTTCAGTATTAGTATTAAAAAAATTGAAATATTTGACATAAGATACTCTTATCATAAAATTGTTTCAACATAAAATATATTTTTTATTTTTTACATAAATATTTAATCAATTTTATATATTATTATTGTGAAATTGCAACTGGGAATGAATATGAAAAATGTAAGTGAATCATTGTTTCATCAACCTTTTGGTCATATGATGATAAATACTATCACTGTTAAAAACGATGTCGTCA